AATAAGTAGGGGTGATCATTTCTAACCCATCCCAAAATTCCATCTTTTTCCTGACAAAAAATTTCCTAGTATCTACATGTTTTTTTTTTTTTGGGTACAAAACATTTAGATTTTCTATCTAGGCTAGGCTAATTTGTCAATGGTGCTCTGCCCGACCCTTGACACAAAATTTCCCATTAAACAAACTTTAAAAACAAAAGGCTATAGGGGTAAAAACGATAACACAAAAGCTTCCATGGCCAAAAATAATACAATAGATAAGTGCATTTAATCAAATAAATAACTTGCCCAAAAACAAACATGGCCTAAGAAGAAAATAGACAAAATGAACATGACACAAACTTAGGGATGCCAATGGGTTGGGTCAAGTGGTAAATTCACCTTTGCTAAACCATATGTATATAGGGTCAGTTTGGGATAGTCTTGATTGAGCTATTTGGGTTGATTTGGATTAAGATTGACCCACGTCAAATACAAACCATTAACATAGTGACATTGAAATTTGAAAACATTGTAAATTGACCTCTAAGAGTATGGGTTTGTTGATGGAGAAACTTCATTGGGTGGGCTTGGTAGTCCTATCTCCCTATTCCATTTTGGTTGGAGTGACTTTGAGTTAAGTTTGAAATGAGCCATGTTAGAATTGAACCTGACCCGTTGACATTCTTGTCCATGCTTGGTTAAAACATTCAATTCATTTTGTTCACATAGAAAAAGCCTATGGTGGAAGCGACTGGTGCTCTAAGGCAAAGCCTTTGTTTTCCGCACACTTGTTAGTTTCTTGGTGCCCTGGTCAATACCTAAATCTACACTTAACTATGACTTTAAAAACTAAAAAATGACTATAATAGTCTAGTTATCTACTACTTGTCTTTACCTTTGTTGCCACGACAAACTTGGAAGCACGAGACGAAGTAACATAGGGCTTTGCTAAGCTTCATTGATTCTATTTATAATTAGCATGCATGATTGCAAATTTCATCACTTCCAAGTTGTGTATAGGGGTGGATTCGAGCTGAGTCGAGTCAAATAGTACCAGGCTCGAGCTCAGTTCGAGCCAGAACCTTGAGCTTGAGCTCAGCTCGAGTAAAAAATTCATAAGCTCGAGCTCAGCTTGACTCGTTTTATATTTTATAAAAATAATTTTTTATATATTTTATAAATATTTTGTTATAAAAATATTTAGAAAAAATATTTTATAAAAATAAAAACCATATATAATTTTTTATTTTATATTTAAAAAATTAAGAATTATAATATATAATAATTATAATATTTTTATTATATATATTATATATATTAAATATCATATATATATATACATATATATATATATATATATATGATATTTAATATATAATATATATAATAAAAATATAGAAAATAATATATATAATAAAAATATTATAATTATTATATATATATTCAAGCCGGCTTCGCGAGCCTCACGAGAAGCCGAGCTCTAGTAGGCTCGAGTTCGGCTCGTTTAATAATCGAGCCACTAAATTGAGCTCGAGCTCGACTCCAAGCTTTTCATGAGCCAAACTTGAACAGCTCATGAAAAGCTCGGCTCGTTGCCCCCCTACTTGTGTATATCACGACCCGTTCTTTAGCCACTATTAGATGGTAGATACTAGATAGTTTAGCGAGTGGTCAAGTTGTTATGAGAAATCATTAAATGCATATGACATATACCTTTACCATTTGAGTCTACCCCCGATTGCTAGCTATTTTCACATCCTCGGTTACTTTTGGTTGAAAATTGGGTTGTATCTATCCTTTTTATTCCATGAGTACCCTTTTACACATGCCTTATTGAGATCTCATGCCATCCCAACCCCAAGTTCATCAAGAATCTTGGATTTATTATAGGGAAAATCTATGATGCAGAAAAGATATGATATGGAAAGAGTTTTGACCAATCAAAAACCACCCATGAATTTTGATAAATAACACCTTATTCGCTACCACACTTATGATTCCAAAAATCACCACAAAAGGTGAAAGCATTTACTCAGGATTTCCTACTCACTTTTTCTACCCACTCTCTACCCGTTGTGAAAGAGATGTATGGCTCCAATTCATAGCGGGTAGAGAGTGGATAGGAAAAGTTTATAGGAAATCTGGGCTTGAAAGCATTTCTATTTCTATTTTCTATTTCCAATAAAACCCAAACGTACGTACCATGCCCCATCACTCTACTTTGAGTACTTGTAGTAAATATGCTTTTTAGTTTTTATTTAATCAGCATAATGAATTTGCCATGCGATGTCATTCTTCAAGGTGCAACTTCTAGGAGTTGCTCAGCAAATGGGGCTCATCGGTTAATTAATCCACTTTGAAATTTGAACAAAAAATTGGAGTCCTAAGTGACAGTAATAAAGACTGGATTTACTCCTTACACCAATCTGACAGCATATTACAGTCCTAAACGATGTGTGATTTCCCTATCTTTCCCTTCCTTTGAAATGGGATTAATTGAACGCAATGGCTGTGTTCAACAAGCTGTGGAGCCAATAATAATGCCCCGCACATTAACAAATATATATGAACTCCACAACCATTCAATCTCTCACTTATCATTTATAATTGTTAAGGCATTTTCGTTGATCCTACAACTTGCTAAATGGTCATAACATTCAGTTATTCCGAATTACCTTCCTTTCCCTACATTTTCTTTCAAACCAAACATAGCCAATTGTGATTCATGAGAAGATGTTTTAATGCATGGCCTCAATGTGATAAGGTTGGTGTGAGAGTGCTATACGAGGAGCATATCCGGATTTAGGGTGAATCACAAAACACCATTCCATAAACAGAAGTCGTACAATTTGGCATGATTTACCAAGACGATTCAGACACAGTGCTCGATGGCATATAGTGATTGGATTACTATATATACTAGTTGGTGACCATATGTTTTGCACGTTAAATTTTTTGATGACGACGACGATGATGAATGACGATAGTAAATAATACGTTTTTCAATTTTTTTTTTATGTTTTTATTTCTATAAAATTATTCTTATTTGTTACATTTATTTTTGTTTAATATGATATTAGAGAAATACCCAAATGTTTTATACAATTTTTTGTATTTTTTTCATATTTTTCTATATTTTATCTTTTTAATTTTTATTATTGTTTAACTATGATACCAAAATGTTGATACATTTTGTTGACTCACCACCAACTTTTTTGGTTGATTTTAAGATTGCCTTTTATTTTCGTTGTAGTAGATATTTAACGATCTCCCTGCTATAAGACATCTCGGACGGACGGGCTAACGAGGTGTGTCCATCGAATTGTAAAAGGTGAAGAATCAGAGTACTTGGGATGCTGAACACGGACTAGGCACTCTGATGCTTAAGTTAATGAAAAGAGTATAGAGAACATAGAGCTTAGAAAGAACAATAAATGAATGAGTTTCACAGATTGTGTGCATACCTTTTGAAGGAGGGTTGAGTTCCTTTTATAGGTGTTGGGGTCTAAGTTTCATGTTCAAGATATTCGAGGACGCCAGACCTTATCGGCCTGTTATCTTTGGGGCACACCCCTCCCACGTTGGTGGTGATCTTTACCCAGTCTCGTCGTATGGAGGCCAGGGTCATCCATGCCAAGTGGGTGATGTGTTGCTGCATGACTCAGAACCAATAGGTATATTACTCTGGATAAGGTTAACCTGCTACACAGGTCGTCAGGTCAGTACTCGAGAAGTTGGCTGGCTATTTAGACCGTTGGTTGCCTAGGTTGGAAGAGTGCAAGTTGGCCTTCGAAGTCCTCAACTTCCTCCACTGAGGTAGAATGTGTTGCCTTGTTACGAGGTGTCCGATTAGTCTCCTTAGGTCGGGATTACATCTTTTGTGGTGCCAAGGTGTCATAAGGTGGTTCGGCATGCCACATGTTGTTTCATGATTGGCCAGTCAAATCATCCTCTATCAATTTCTATCATTAATAAAATAATTATTCTTTATCATACTTATATATATTTTTAATATAGTTAATTAATATAAAATTCAAAAGAAGGAAAGTTAATACCTAAATATAAGATTTAATAAAAGAAAATTAAATGAAGAGAAAAATAATTATTAAAATTACATTTATACGGTTTAAGATATTTTAATCAAACAAAATTTCCACAAGTGCCTACTTTGCAAGTGTATCATACGTGGGAATATGAAACAAAGGACAGACCTACACTAGATTTCTAAATTGACATCAAATACTCCCACTCTATACACCATTCCATTCGTAAATTGACATCAATTTCGAGCAGGCACCTACCCAACTGGGCCTAAAATTTCTGACCCAGCCTGGACTGAACCGTCATTCTCCCAATATAGAAAGATGCCACTCCTGTTGCAGGTGTGTCATACGTGAATTAGGCCCTGAGACTGGGTTGGTCCAAGTGTCCAACTTTACATTCTCGGCCCTACGGCCTTATTAATTATCGTACAACTTCGAATCCTCTGAGAAAGATTCTCAGCCAATCCTCACGGCTCACCCTGACGTCTGAGGCCACGCGTACGGTCTGGCGCTATTTCTTTCTTGTGATTGGACAAGTTTTACGAGTAGCTCTGTAGACTAAACAAACTCCCAGTCCTATGAGTACTCAAAACTACACGTTGCTCAATTCCTTCCAGAGTCCTACTGTACTGTAACTCCGAGTTTAGTTTTCATCAAATGCACAGTTGTTACTTGCTACGTTTCCGGTTTTCGTAACGGCCACGAGGTGTTCGAGGGTTTTTTTTTCATAATTTTAATTTTTGATAATTATATTTATATAATTAAATCCTGAAACGACAACACGGCCTAGAACTCTGGAAGAAGAAAAACTAGAAAACCGCCTGTCTTTTTGGTTTACTGAAACTCCGAATTTTAAAAAAGCAGAGCAATTACTGAATTGGGCACGTCTTTTTTTGATAAGGCGACAAACTGACTCTATGCCTCTATGGCAGATTGGCAGTTAGTTGTTCTCTCTCTCTCTTTTACTTTTTTGTGGGGGTTAAATAATGAGGAGCACTTCATCTCTACACGAACACGACGACTACACCTGTTATCGCGTTGTTTACTCTGATCTCACGCGTTGGTTTCCCTCAACAGCTTAATAGCCTAACCATATCTCCTCCCGTATAAAATAAAGGAAAAAAGAAGTCGTATCAGCCGAAACAGCTATGAACTTTCGGGGAATTGGAGCTGACAGGTCGACGACGTTGCAAACGAAAACCATCGTCTCTAAGCATTCACATAGTCTTCGCTGAATTTCTTCGGAATTGTGCTTTTCCCAATTTCGAAGTTGTGGGCTCTTCAAATTTGAATCGAGGCGCTCCATAATTCGGGTCTGGTACTGTAGGGAATTAGGGTTTTTGAAGCTGGGGGTGCTTGGGGGGGGGGGTTCTATGGTATTTCTCTGATATGTTGAAAGCAGAGGAGAGTTCGAACTGGTCGGAGGATTCCTTTGACGTGGAAAATGGTTCTGATAATCTTTCAATTGATCTTGATCAGTTATATGCCATTCTTGATGGAAGTCCAAACCAGCCACATGGCATTTCCGAGGTATGTGTTTATTTGAATTACGCTCATTTGTGCCCTGTCCCGAATTCACAAAAAGAAAATCATCTTAGGCTTAATTTGGAAAGAGCATAAATACAAATATGTACAATATAAATAAATATAAAATAATACAAAATGCAAGGTTTTGCACTCATATTTGTATTTGTACTTCTTCGAAACTGAGCCATAGGATTGGGAACAATTTAGATTGCATTTACTTGACCAATAAATAATAGCATAAACCTAACATTAAAAACAGAAAAAGGGTAAAGATTCCGCATAGAAAGAAATGAGAACCATTTTCCACGTCAAAGGAATCCTCCAACCAGTATCTTCTCAAACCGTAACTGGCCCTCGCTCTACATACTGTTACGGATGGCATGCAATGATATGCTGAAAGCAGAGGAGAGTTCGAACTGGTTGGAGGATTCCTTTGACGTAGAAAATGGTTCCGATGATCTTTCTATTGATCTTGATCAATTATATGCCATTCTTGATGAAAGTCCAAACCAGCCACATGGCATTTCCAAGGTATGTGTTTGTTTCTTGCGAACAAAAACTGTGGCGATTGTTGTTTTGGGATTTGAATTACGCTCATTTGTGCCCTGTCCTGAATTTGGGTAACTAGTATTTCATTCTCCCCATCACAAAAAGAAAGAAAACAAAGACAAGAAAATCATCTTAGGGTTGGGAACAATTTAAATTGCATTTACTTGACCAATAATAGCATAAACCTAACATTAAAAATAGAAAAAGCATAAAGATTTCGCATAGAGAAAAACATGAAACATTGCATGGCATCCATAACAGTATGTAGAGTGGGAGTCAGTTACGGTTTAAGAAGATGCTGGCCTTGTTTTTAGTATAAATGATCACAACAATAGTAATGACACTGAAATACATTTCATGGAGTGACTTCCATGTTTACAAGCTCTAAAATTTGTAAGCAAGAAAGTGGAAATCAAGGTTTTAAAACTTTGATTGCAATGTAACCTTCATTATTGTGGACGAGGAATTAATTTTTGGAAGTGGAATTAATCATGGAAACATTATAAAATACAGAAACCAAGGGAGCATCATTAAATTATTACAAACCTAGGATAAAACATTACAAAATGATAGCAGTAGCACCAATAATGCCACTAAACCAGACTATTTGAAATAGGAAATAGGATATAGATATTAACATATGTAGTCATGTGTGTCTGATATTCTCACATTGAGATGTTATTTACAATTTCAGTTGATATGTTTTCATGCTTAGATCATTATCAATATGCTGCATGGACAGCTGCACCATCTTGACCAGATCTGGTGGTTTTACAGTTTTGTCGATCCCCACTTTTTGTATTTCCGGAATAACTGGCAAAGTTGCTTTTAACCTGGATAATTCTCTGAAATCTGGATGTGTCTAAATGAACTGCTTGAGTCAATAGTTGAGTGTCAAGTGCCAACTAGTAGAATTAATAAGAAGTTTCAAACCATATCATTTGTGAATGCCTAGTGACAAACTATAAAGTCATATGCCAATTTGTGCATTATATCATTATATAGATATACTATATGGACATTAAATACATTTTAATCGTGTATTCTAAACAAAGGAAAATGCACTTGGGGAGGTACAAACTTGGGCTCATGCATGGAGAAAGAATAATAACAATTTTGCTACTGCCTACAAATATTTTTTATAAATTTTATACTTAGTAACGGCATCATAGAGCACTGGGTCAACCCAATGGTGAGACCATTTTACCTGTGACCCTGTAGGCTTATTGGGTTTGTGAACAATCTGGTTTTGACAAAACTGAATGTAACATTGAACTCCAACCAGTCAAAACTTGTTGAAAATCGTCTGTGACTTCGATTAGCAAGGTTAATAATGTCAGTTCTGTGGAAGTTTAGAACCATGATGGAAATTAATCTTTGTTGTTATCAAAATGACCAAAATACCTCTGTATCCAGAATCCTATTCCCAAGGACTTCTAAGCTGCTGTCTTAACAGCTGTTATTGCTTTCTTTCTATATGAATAAATCTTCAAAGGCATGGTATCATCCTTATTACTGTTTCACAGAATTTGCAGGAAAATCTATTTGTTAATTGCATATCAGGAATTTGTGCCAAAGAGTTTAAGACTTTAAGGATGTGAACAGGATTGATTTTAGTAATTGGACAGAAATTGTAAGACATTGGTATATTTTGTATTTTTCCTGTTCTTTTATGTTTAGTGTTCTACACTATGGCTGGAACTCTCCCTGTTCTATGCTTTTTGATATCATTCTTATCTTAACGAGAACTTTGTTATCCATCAAAAAGGGAGAGGAAGAAGTTTAGCAATAACTACTATAGAAATTAGGGGCCAAATAGTTATTTTATAATTGAAATATTTTCTAGATAACTTTCTTGACTCGATATGCATATTTTCTACTATTATGCTTTTTTTTATCCATTTATTTCCCTTGTCTTCCATGAACACTCTTTCATCAGCTCTTAACAATGTGGCACCTTCTGCAGACCAATGCAGGAAATATATCATCAAGGAATGATTTACAAGGAGAGTCAAGTTTTCTTGCTTACCACCATGAGAATGTGTCCCAGCCACAAAATGGTAACATGATTCATTTTGACTTGGTATTTCTTCTTTTGTTGCCTATGTTACACTTATTTACTGTTATGTTGTTTTTGTTGTTGTTGTTATTTCATATAAGAAAAGCTATACATTAAAGTCATAAAGAAAAACTAAGGTGGTATTTGATAAATGCAAAATAAATTTAGAAAAGCCTCATTCATCATTTAAGTAACTTGCTACTTAATTGCTGAATGAAGCATGGGAATTGTGGGGTGATTGTTTTATCCTTAGAAATTTTATTGTATACTAATAGTACCCCGTGGATTTAAGCTTTTTTTTTGATAAATTGGATTTAAACCTTTTTTAAGTTTTAAGCCTTCTCCACATTCAGCTTTCAGAATCTATTTCAGCCGTTACCAAACACACCTATGCCTTTCAGTATGCGTGCATTAATCGTTTCTTGCTTGAATGCTGAGTTTCTGTTAGGTATCTATGGGGTGGCACCTCCAAAAGGAGCTGAGGTACCAGGATCTTTCATGTTCTATCCTTCAGATTATACACAATTTTCAGATTCTAGGACAAGCATGGGCTCAGAGTGTTCGTTTGAGACTCCAGGAAGTTCTCAAATGGTGTCTGATCATGTGAAGATGGAAGATCCACCACAGATTGGCAATCCTGTATGCAGTTCTTTGAGTTTTAATGACCAATTAACTGTGCCATTCTCAGAATGTAACACTTGCCTTGATCAGAGGGTTGGAAGCTCTGTAAATCCTCCTGGTAAGGAACCACCATACCAGCTAAGGAATTTTGGCACCGAGTTTAATTCTTCTGCAGGCAATGGTAATCACATTTCGTATTGTTGGTGACCATGATCTTTGTTCAACTGAAGATGAGGTCACCTTGGGAGCTCAATAAAATTGCATGTGTTACCATATGCCTGGTTAAGACATGTATCTAAGTTTGTACTGCACAGAGTAATAATTAGCTACATATGCCTGTTCGTTTCACCTGTGCTTTGTGGATTCTAGAATGAGTTTCATGTTCATTAACTTGTGGGTATTCTAAACTGCAGGTGCTTCACCTTACATGGTGATGGAAGAAGCAGGTTTGGCTTTTGGGAAGTATAGTGCTATATGTGGAAATAGCATGGACAATATGGGAAAACTTGAAGAAAATTCATGTAAATATCCTGAGGAGGCATATTTTTTGGATGTAGATATAGGTCAATTTCATACTATACTCAATAGCAGTCAGGTTGCTGATATCACATGTGAAACTAGTCATCATTGTTCACCACTAACCTTTTGTACAGATCCTAGTGCCTCTGATGATAATGCTACTTTAGTATGTTCTTCAAGGCATTTCCTGTCTGATTCTTCGGTTCTGCAATTTATGTCAACTGTGGGAGAACAAATCCACACAAAAGATGAAACAGAGGTTCACCTGCTTCCAACTCATAATATATGCCAAGGAAGTACGATGACAACACATGGAGGAAGAGCTGACACATTTGTTCAAGAAGAATCCATAATGGATTATGCTCATATAAATATGTCTCAGGGTATGGGTTTTAAGTGTGAAGCTGGTTTGTATCATTCACCAATTACTGGATGCTCTTCTTCTGATGCGAAAAATGGAGCTTCTTCTGACAATCATTCAAGGCAATCACTTCATACTCTTCAATCATGCAATGTAAGTGAGGAGGAGGTTTGCATAAAGGATGAAAGAGAGGATGAGCTTCTTTCTTCTAAGAGCACACCTTATGATGTAAAGGTTCTTGAGCCTGTCCCCTATGATTATCATTCTCCAATCAATAGAAACTCTGATGCTAGTGCTGGTGGTGAGCCTTCAATTCATAGTGGCTCAAGACAATTGTTTTCTGATATTCAATTATTTACCTCAAGTAACAAGCAGACCATATTCATGAAGGAAGAAAAAGAGAATATACTGCTTCCATCTGGTAGCATGAATTGTCATTCTGTAAAAGTCACTGGTGAAGTTGTCCACAAGAGTCTCTCAGGGCATAGGGCCCATGTTGATGATACTGATGATGCTGATTTATGTATTCTTGAAGATATCAGTCATCCTATACAGCCATATACATCATTAGTGCATGAAAAACCCCCTGTGACCACAACACATTCTATGAATAGAAACTCTCTTTACCATACAGGAATTGTAAACACATGGCATAGAGCAAATGATGAGAGATTAACCTTCAGGGTGGCGTTACAGGTGATAACCATAAATTTTGTTTATTTTTTTTGCTGCTCGAAGAAGTGGTTTTGCATTTGCATATGTTCATGTGTGTTTCTCTACATTTATATGGACCTAAGGTTGAAGTGCATTTGCAGGATCTTGCTCAGCCTAAGTCAGAAGATAATCCACCAGATGGTGTTTTGGCCGTCCCCCTTCTGAGACATCAGGTTTAGGTTTATCTTTTAAGTCCATTTATTTGGCAAGTACAAGGTTCTAGCATGGTTTATAGTTTGAAGTCAGCAAAAGAAATGCATATTAGCTTGCAAACATGCAGGGAAACCATTTAATGGGTCCCAATTAAGACATGATCTAAGTCAAAACCAATACAATCCAGGTGACTATGATTGTCTATCTAATCTTTTCCTTGAATATTAAAATCTACATGATGGTTGAATGATCAAGTACATGCTAATGGCCATAGTCAACCAATAAAAATGGTTTAATCTAGGTGATATACATTAATGAGACTGATTGAATGGTTCGCCTTCTTGTATTGTGTGACTGTAAGGCTAGAGATGGATCATCCTTTATATTTGTGAGAAGTAATTCCTTATTTTTGACATCCCAAATGACTTTTAATTAACATTTGGACAGCGAATTGCATTGTCATGGATGGTGAAAAAGGAAACAGATAGCTCACCCTGCTCCGGAGGAATTCTTGCTGATGATCAGGTTTATTGACCAATAACTTAAATTTTATCTGTTCTTGGAACCATTTTAGTTTTTTTTTTTTTACAATGGCTTACATGATAATTGCCTAGCAGGGATTGGGAAAGACAATATCAACAATTGCACTTATACTGAAGGAAAGATCTCCCTCCTCCAAGATTAGTTCTGCAGTTGCAAAACAAGGGGAATTGGAAGCTTTAGATTTAGATGAAGATGATGATGGAGATTCTGGTTTTGTTAAGAAGTCAGTGAAGAATGAGAATTCTTCCATGATCATGAAGGGTAGACCAGCCGCTGGAACATTGATTGTATGTCCTACCAGTGTCCTCCGGCAATGGGCTGAAGAGCTGGATAGTAAGGTCAGCAAGGATGCTAATCTCTCTTTTCTTGTATACCATGGAACCAATCGAACAAAAGATCCTTATGATCTGGCCAAGTATGATGTTGTGCTTACAACATATTCCATTGTAAGCATGGAGGTTCCAAAGCAGCCTCTTGTGGATAAAGATGATGATGATAAAGGGAAGGAAGAAGCTCAAAGTCTGCCACCTATGGGATTGTCTTCCAGCAGAAAAAGAAAGTATCCCCCTAGTTCTGATAAGAAAAATCGGAAGGATAAAAAGGGAGTGGATGGCACATCACTTGAATCTGTTTCTCGTCCTCTTGCAAGGGTTGGATGGTTTAGGGTAGTATTGGATGAAGCACAGAGCATTAAAAATCACAGAACTCAAGTTGCAAGGGCATGTTGGGGACTTCGAGCTAAAAGGAGGTGGTGCTTGTCAGGAACACCTATCCAGAATGCAGTTGATGATCTTTATAGTTACTTCAGATTCCTTAGATATGATCCATATTCTGTTTACAATTCATTCTGCTCCATGATCAAGATTCCGATTAATAAGAATCCAGCACATGGGTACAAAAATCTACAAGCTGTTCTGAAGACCATAATGCTTCGTCGCACAAAAGGTGACATTCCAGATTAGACTCTCTTGTGTTATAATCTTTGGTTCTTCAGTGGATGATGATAATAGATCTTTTTATTTACTAACTTTTATCCTCTTGTTTTTTTTTTTTTTGTCTTATCTTTTTGGTGGGAAAAAATCATCTCTTTGTCATCCTCATTCATAGATCTACCCAAGGCTTCAGTTCTGGAAGTGATGGCCCTGGTGCCCAATTGGTTGAGTTTCTAATTTTCTATTACCTTTTTAACTGTTTAGTACCACAATTCTTCAAACCTCATTGTATTTGGTAGTCGAATTTCCAGGATGTTGATTATCCCTTGTTCAGTTTCTTGAACTACACCATTAGTAGATGGATGTACTGAGTCTCCCAGTTCCCCCTTGGGCACTTTTTCTCTTGGATGGGATCTTTTTTTTTGTCTGCACTTCTGAAGGTATTTCAATAAAATAAACCTACTCAAGTAGGGTTTAGGTCATAGCAGTACCTTGGTTGAGGTTTATGGTTGGGTATTGGATTCTGTATTTCCAGAAGGCATGTACTTAAGGAATAAGCCTATGGAAAAAAGATGATTTTTCCTAACATGGCATTATCTAGAAGGATAATATCAAGCTTGCATATGTTTCTGAGGATCCTTTACTGTTCTTTTGATCATCTTGAGTGCTGCATACGAGGATACAATGCTCCTCTGCCTTGTGGTGGCCCCCAAAATAAATAAGTACTAAAAACATGGAATAGTTATCAGCTTCATCATTGGCTATTGCCTCAGCAATTCCATCAGGTTGTCATCTTGAATTTATAATTTGACATGATTGTGATCAAACACATCATGTGGAAAACAAATTGAACCACAACATATCTTCACAGCACTATGAATAGCTGAAGTCTGTAATAACACCTGAAACAGTTACGTTTTGCCCAGCCTTGGTATCTAATTTAAATATCTTGGACTTGCCCCTCCTGGAAATGGAAAGGGGTTCTTTCTTGACCATTTGATTCAATTGGGTCCTAGGGTTGCTATGCTTTGGTTAATGATTCCTTGTGCCATCTCCTAGGTGGTATGAAAGGAGTAGAGTAAAAGAATATCTGAAAAATTTATAAGGCCTTTACCTCGTGTTGATGGTTTCTTTCTTCTTAATGGATTAGGATATTGTCCTAAATGAGTAGAAAGATTGAGATGCAGAGATATTGTTCATAGGCGGTTCCCTTTTCTTTTATTTATATCCTTTTTGTACATCTAACATAACACTTGCATGCATGAAAAGTATTTTTTATTACTCATAAAAAGGAAAGTTCCATATCCATTCCCTTGAGTGAAGACACCAGACTACTTTGCCAGTTTCCCTTTCAAGAGCCATATTTATTGGCTGAATTTTAGGTTTACTGGCTTGCCAAAAGAGGAGACCACCAAATATTCTGAAATCCTAATTGTATTGTAAATCCTAGGGTAGGCTGAATAGAATCCAATTGTATCATAAATTGTAATTCATAAGAGATAAGATGTTATGGGCCCGAGCGTAGGATCGTGTCACGGGTCGTTCCGCCTTCGGAGCCTCAGACCTTTCCTTGCCCTTGGCCTTGCGTACAGGCCCTATTTTGACGATCTCAGGGGTGATTTGTTCAAGAGATCACCGAACTCTCCTCTACTTCCTTTCTTGATTGAAAAATTCGATGCCTTTATTCAATAATAGCGCCTCCTTAAATAGGCGATTACAAGAGGAGGTTTCCTTGTTGGATTAGGCTAGGCTAGTCCTAGCGGACTTAAAACTCCTACTTCTAATTAGACTACTTACTTTTAATGGTACTACAATTCCGTCTAAGACTAGGGGATAAGATAAGGGATAAGGGGTAAGGCACGATCTCTTGACGTCTCCGGATAAGGGTGGGTCCACCCTATGAGCTGTCGTGTGGGCCCTGCTCTGTTGCTGCTGCCAGTGTGCGTGCGTGCGGTACTGCGCGCTGCGCGAGGTGCCACCGCCGCGCGGTGCGTGCGCGTGGTGCCGCTGCCGCGCGGTTCATGGTGCTGCTGCCGTGCGGTGCCTATCGTATGCGCGCTGCTGCCTCAATTGCTGCCGTGTGGTGCGCGTGCTCATAACATCACTTCCCTCCTGGACTACGAGCTTGTCCTCAAGCTCGAGGTCTGGATAAGCGTTGTGGAGGACGGTCCAGGGGATCCAAGTTGCCTTTGCTGGGGGTAGTCCCTCCCATTCGACTAAAACCTCGAAGGTGCCTTGATGGACGCGGGACCGGACGAGGGCACCAGGCTGGAGGATAGGTTTACCGTCCTGCAAAGGGGGTAGGGGAGGTACATGGTCGGGAGGAGTGCCAACATAAAGTTTTAAGAGGGATACATGGAAGATGTCGTGGATCCTGCTGTGCTCCGGAAGCTCGAGTTGATAAGCTACCTTTCCTATCTTCCTTAGGATCTTGAAAGGCCCGTAGAATTTGGGGGCCAGCTTAGGGGGCCCCCGGCGCCTGAGGGACAGCTGCCTGTATGGTCGGAGTTTCAGCCAAACGTACTGCCCTGGTTCAAAGGTGACTTCGCGGTGTTGCTGATCATAGGCATTTTTCATATGTGCCTGCGCCTGCTGTAAGCGCAAGGAGACTTTGGCCAGTAGGGCGTTGCGAGCCTGTAGGCTGCGGTCCACTTCTTCTAGTCGCGTTGAGCCCGGCTCGTAGGATAGAAGGCGTGGAGGGTCTCGACCGTACACTACTCTAAAGGGAGTCATTCCAAGGGAGGAGTGATAGGATGTATTGTAGCAGTATTCAGCCCATGGGAGGTACTCGACCCAGCGCCGCGGCTGGTCGCCCACAAAGCAACGAAGGTACATCTCAATTGTCCGGTTCACCACCTCTGTTTGACCGTCTGACTGTGGATGGTAGGCTGAGGAGAAGGCGAGGGCCGTGCCTTGTAATCTAAAGAGCTCCTTCCAGAATGTGCTTGTGAAGATYGGGTCYCGGTCACTRACRATGGACTCGGGGAGTCCATGTAAGCGGAAAATGTGGGTGAAGAATGTATGGGCGACCGAGACTGCAGTATAAGGATGGGATAAAGGGAGGAAGTGAGCATATTTGGAGAACCGGTCTACCACCACGAACAGGACTGACTTCCCCCCAACTTTGGGCAGCCCTTCGATGAAATCCATGGAATATCGGCCCATATCTGCGTTGGGAGGGAGAGGGGTTGGAGCAGGCCCGCGGGGTGCAAATTTTCCCATTTTTGTTGTTGGCACACYGCACAGTTCTGGATAAAGTCCCGTACCGAGGCCTTCATAGCTTGCCAGTGGAAGTTAGCGTGAATGCGATGCAGCGTTTTCTGAATGCCCTCGTGTGTCGAGTGGTGTATGCTGGCGATGATGGAGGGGATGAGGGGGCAATCGGCGGGTAGGTAGATCTTCTTTTTGTAAAATACCAGCCCATCGTGGAAAGACCAGTTTGGGTTAGCAGACCCTGACTGTATTTGTTGGGCTCGGTCGTTCCATTCGGAAGACTGCAACAGTGCGTTCCGAATGTCTTCTAGCAGGGTGGCTTGTGGTTGGGAGATCGCATGGAGGATCATACTATCTTCCTCTCGTCGGGACAGGGCATCTACTGCATGGTTCAGGGATCCTGCCTTATAGTCCACTCGGAAGTCGAACCCCAAGAATTTGCTGACCCAATGTTGCTGTGGAGAGGTGGTCAGTCGTTGTTCCAGCAAGTATTTGAGGCTATAGTGGTCTGTTTTGACGACGAAGGGTCTGCCC